ACACGACCGCCCTGGATCCACCGCCGTGTGGATCCACGTCGCAGGGAGTCGACGCGGCCGCCTGGATCCGCCGCCGTGTGGATCACCCGTCCCTGCGCGCCACGTAGCTCCTCGCCTACGAGAGAGAGAGATGAGGGAGGTACTGAGAGGAGAGAGAGGGTGGGAGAGAGAGAGGGAGAGAGAGATACCGAGCATGGCGGTGCTCTCCTCGCCAGATCCGGCGTCGACTCCCTGCGCCGCCAGATCAGCCGAGAGGTGCCAAAGGTGCCGCGCGCGATAACACCCTTGATGACGAGCTTGGCGGGGTCGATCTCCCAATCCTCACGGCACCGCCGCAGCGGCGTCAGATCCTCCGGGCCCAACCTCGCGGTCTCGCCGCGACGGTTCCCCATCCCGGAGGCGGGCCGACTCCCCGCTCCGCCGGGCATCTGAGGTGGCGCTCGAGCTGCTCGTCCAGGCTCTTAAGGTCGATCTGGTCCACGCGCAAGACGAACCCAGCTGCGCCGCCGCCCCGCTGGTGGGCTGCCTCATGATTGCGATGGTTGGAGCTAGGAGCACCCGGAAGGTGGCGGCGGTGGCGGCGGATCTTTGTGGGGTTGAGCGGCGTGGAAGGCCTCACGCGGTTTGGTACTGCGCGATGTCTCAAAACCCTAAGTGCTCATTTTATACCGGTTCGCTACGGGCCTCGCCTGAGCCTATTGGGCCTCGGCCTTAACCGAGGCGGGCTTTATAGGATGCCGCATACGGTAAATCGATTTACCGTGGCGGACCTCTTAATATGCCCGCCATGGAAAATAGGTATTTTCCGTGGCGGGAATATTAAGAGGTACGCCACGGTAAATCGATCTACCGTGGCGGGCAAAAGTGCCCGTCTCAGTAAATAAAAAATGCCCGCCGCGGTAAATTGTGGGATTTACCGCAGCGGGCAAAAATAGGAGCCCGCCGCGGAGAGCGTTATCGCAACGCTGCGCAAATTTGTTTTTGTAGTAGTGTAGGTAGAAATCTTCAGTACCAACACCTTCGTGAGACTGAAAGGCTAGCTCTAGGACGTTGATAACAATGTGTATGGAATTTGACATTGGTTTTACCTTGTGAATTATGTCTATTTAATGATGGATTGTACATATTCTTGTGAATTGGACTTGTAATTATAGTTTATATAATACTCTTGTGCTTTTAGTTTATATAATACTCTTGAGCGAACGCGGTTCGGAACGTTGGTCGCGGGGCATTCGGCGGGATTATCTCGCTTTCCTCGCTCACGTTGGTCGCGGGGCGTTCGGCAATGCGAACGCTGGATGGAATACGCAGAAACGTTCGGCAACGCGAACACTGGATGGAATACGCGGAAACAAACAATGTTCTGGTCGAATTTGAATTGTAAATTTGAATTTTTTTTGCAGGAAAACGTACTGTAGGGGCGGTTCTAGACTGAACCGCCCCTACAAACAGGTATTATAGGGGCGGCTGGTACTACAGCCGTCCCTACAAATCGATTTATACTTACCAGCCGTCCCTACAAATCGATTTGTAGGGTTGGCTGTAGTACCAGCCGTCCCTACAAATACATGATTTGTAGAGACGGTTTGGTAGGGGCGGCTGGCCAAACCGCCCCTACAAAGGGTTACGAGCCGCCCCTAAAAAATGTTTCTGTAGTAGTGGGCCTTCATCTGAGTTGGTTATGTGACTCCTAGATTCAATTTCCTGTGGAAGATTGTATCTTCTCATCTGTCTTACGCCAAAACACAGGTCTATGGCCTAGCTCCGGAGCAGAAAGTCGATTTTTTATGCTTGAAGTTTAATAAAAACATCCATTATAAAAAATGCACGGGCCATAAAAGTGTATTATTTAGTCATCTGCTGGCAATGCATCATCTGAGTAAAATAGTCAAAGGATGATGTTATCTAAATGGATGTTTCGCCCGGCGCTGAAGTGCACACCTGACCAACTAGATAATATTTTTTATTAATTGGTGTTGGAAACTTGGAATGCATCATCATTTTTTTATTGCTACAAGATTTTCAAAAGATGTGCTAATGATAAGAATTAGAAACTGACAAATTGACACAGCCAAGCTACGTGTCTCAGTACGTACGATGCAACTTAAAACGCCTATTAGGCTGTCACGTTTTTCAAAGATGTTATGTGATATATAAAGAGAATTAGGATCCTATGACTATCGTAGCGTTGTTTCTAAGGGCATGTACAACGGGCGTGCCGGCCGTCGTCACCGGATAGAAGTTTTTCAAAATCCCCCCCCGGTTCGCAGGAGAGAGAGCGAAGCTGTCGCATCGTGAGACGACGGCGAGCGCTCATGCTCCCAGACGAAGTCGATGGCTGGCTTCGCGTTGTACAGTGCCGTCGTCTTTAGCCGACTCAGCGTGGATCCAGCTGCGGGCGCGTGAGAGGGAAAAAATCGCGCCAAAAATCTTCACCGACGCTGTCTTCTCCGTTCCTACATCCTCACCGGCGCGCACGCGCGGAGGATGAGCAACGAGCAAGCATCGCCAGCACCAGGGCAGGGCGGGGTGAGCACGGCGTCGGCACTGGGGCGGGGTGGGGCGGAGCTGAGCCGCACCGAGGCAGGGTGGGGCGAGCATAGCGTCGGCACCGGGGTAGGGCGGGGCGGAGCAGAGCCGCACAAGTGGGGAAACGCGGGGCCGTGCCGGCGGGGACAAGAGCGTGGCGGATCACAGCCGAGCTGGCGAGGAAGAGCAGGGCCGCGCTGGTGGGACAGGGTGCATCCCGACGAGGGAAGCACATGTCGTCTCCAGAATCCTCTCTCCTACTTTACCGATCAAGATTGCTCGCGGCCTCGCCCGAATTTGACCTGGAAGACGCCGTCGTAGTGTGCGCCCTAGTGTCGCCCTCAGCGTAACTCTGTCTGTCTCCATCGTAATGATGTACTGCTCCATGGCATCTATGAGTATCACATGAAGAACACCAAAACGGATGAGAAGATCGAATGGTTACGGGAGCTTATTATGTGAAACCTCACATCACCATATTCCAGATGCCCCCAATAAACAATGTAATTCGTTTTGCTTGAAACCAGTATGCTTTGGTGTTGGCTGTGTTTAGGTAAGCCGAGGGAATATGAAAACTGAATGTTTCTGTTCAGCTACTGAAAACTGATAACCCAATGCACACATTGTGTAATTCTATTTTCAGTTACTTGCATGTTCACTTGATTTTGATTGTGGTCAGTTACATGATAACTGAATGCTTGTCATCAGGCTCATTTTCAGTTACTTGCATGTCCCCATAGTGTCACCTGTCTGCATGTCATCAGGCTCATTTTAAGTTAACTGAATGCTTGATTTCTTGCCATCAGGCTCATTTTCAGTTACCTGATAACAGTATGTTATATTTGATCTATGAAATATGTTATATTATATTATATATGTAATATATGATTTACTTTGAAGGATTTGTTTTGCATCAATTAGAAACATAATGGTATATAGAAATGATATTCATGATTGATCATGACTACATACAAGCATTAAACGATTTGTAGACAGCTAAATAAACAGTAGTTGTCTGTGGGCTGTATGAGCTGTCTGATTAGCCGTCTGTGTTGTAAATTCTAAAAACTTACAGACAGCAGCTGTCTCTCTGTTGTACATGCCCTAAGGCGATCTCAGAAAAAAAAACTGAGTTGTGTGCAGTCTGTATGACAATAGGCCAAAATATGTGCGTGTTTTCTACAAGATCTCATGCCAAAACTGTGTCTACATAATGATACTGACCCTCTATCTCCCTCATGCTAATCATCACTCGCTATGTCAGCAAAATATGATAGGTGGAATCTAATTAATCCACTGGGAGTAGCCGTAAACAAATACTTCGGTGCAGCATGTCTATTTCACGGTGATGGGCACACGCATACGGGTATCTGTGTGCAAGATACTTCACCAAGTTGCAAAGAAGGGATCTGACATGCTCCCTCATTCTCATAATTAAACAATGAAAATCTCGTTTCTTGAGGAGTTAAACAATCTTCAGTGTAAAAAATATATAAAAATAACTAACATTTATGATGCACAAGAAATATCATTAGATTAATGATGACATATATTCTAATAAACATATTTAAAGATACAAATATTTTGATCTTATTTGTTTGTAAACCTGCTAATGAGACATGCTCCCTCTGTCTACGGAAGCATGCTGGTCAAACTTTCGTAAGTTTGACAAGGTTTATAGAAAATATTAACAATATTTGTACCTCTAAATAAGTTTATTATGAAAATAGATTTAATGATCTATCTAATGATACTAATTATGTCTTATAAAAGTATTTTCTTGTATATATTTGATCAAAGTTGAGTATGTTTGACGTTTTGAGAAGCGAGAATGACAGTTAAAAAGGGACGGGGGCAGGGGCGGATCTAAGGGGGGGGCTGGGGGGGAGCCTACAGCTGGTGCATCAATGGAAATATGGGGAGGGTGAGGGAGAAAAAGAGGTGGAGGAAATAAGAAAAATAGAGAGAGAGAGGAAGAAGAAGAAAAGACTAGCCCTCCCTTCAATCCTGTTATGCATCCGCCACTGGACGGGGGAGTAAGATTGTTCAACTGTGAAGTGAGACTTTCATTGTTTTTGAGACAGTAGAAGTATTAATGTCTAGATAAGACCAAACCCCAAGACTGCTGAGGCGCAGACGAACCAATATATTTAAATAACTGCTTATTGACAGATTTATCTCCAAGAAAACCAATGTGGACATGATGATATCTCCTGATTTACATAGCCAGATAAAATAAAGATGGGTGAACCATTAGTTTTTATGAATAATATGCCTTTTTACCTTTAATTTAGACAATTAGCGCTTGTTTAAGATGAAGAAAGAAAAGAAAAGGATTAAAGATGATTTAGTTTTTTATTCCAATATATCAAGATTAATATTTTTTACGCTAACATGAATGTCTGATATTGATATTCTATTTTTTTTGTCCATACATGGTGGACGGTCCCCCTATAATCCTGACTCTCCCCCTAAATCTATAGGGGCAATTAGAGTTCATCTCCACTACTACACAATGTTTAATGGAGGCGGGCAATGCAACTGTCTCCAATCAAAGGTCACCATTAATGGAGACCTACGGAGGCGGTTGCGTTGCCCGCCTCGGTTAATTGATTAACGGAGGCGAACATCTTAATTAAGGCAACCATCTTGGTTAATTCCTATTAACAGAGGGGGTTAATCAAAGTACACCGTCTCTCAAAATCATTTGTGTAGTGGTGCTCGTCATGTTGACACATGGGATTTTGCTTTTTCACTTCTCCAACAAAGATTATTAAGATTGAGAAGATGAAAAGTTATCACGTGATGCGCAATAACTCCTTCTGATGTGTACACGTGATGTACAGCTCTTTGATGCAACCAACGCTAACTATAATGCAATTTCTTATTGGACAGACAATGATCTTTCCATCCATAGTTTATGCGCGACAAGCCAACAAGCACTAGCAGGATTTAGAAACCTCCAAAACCAAGTCTCAGCTGGGGGTGTAAGATCTAAGTTGCTGCACAAATTCATCGATGTACCTCTCCTGGAGCTCCTTATTGGCTACAACTTCTTGCAACTTCATGGCGTTTGATAGAAAGACCCTCCTGGTATCTTCTTCAACCATCACGGCCCGCACTGTGTTGGCAATCCCTTGGCGGTCGAAAGACCCATCGTCTTCATCCCTTGGAACCTGCAACCCTACCTTCCTCCCTGCCATGAGACGCGCATTTGGACCTTGGTCGGCGAAGATCGGTAGCATGATCAGAGGGTGCCCATACAGAAGCCCTTCGGTGAGCGAGTTCCGTCCACAGTGCGTCAAGAACGCGCCCACGGCGCCATGCGCCAGTATGGTATTCTGCGGCACCCAGCTCGTGGTCACCATGCCAAGGCCGTGCGTACGCTCCAGGAAGCCCGGAGGGAGGACATCAGCGTCAGGAACGCCCCTGGGCTTCCTCAGCGCCCAGAGGAATCGCGTTCCGGCGAGCTCGAGCCCATGAGCCAGCTCGTGGACCAGCTCCACGCGCAGCGGCACCTCGCTGCCCAGCGCGACGTAGACGACCGACTTGGGTGGCTGCGCGTCCAGCCACCTCACGGTGGCGTCGTCTCTGTTCATGCCGGCTCCGCGGCCTCCGTCCGGCGATGGCGGCAGGAGGCCGAGTGGGAGGAGTGGCTTGCCGAGGAGCGCGGCGGCATGCGAGAAGGCGTGGAGCTCCCACTCGGGGCAGCTCCGCATGGCGGTGATCGCGCACCCCTCCAGCGTCAAGGTGATGCGCCGGGCGATCGACATACCTGACGTGCCGACATGTGTGAACAACGCCGCGTCCCCATCCCACTCGTAGCGCGGCATGCCCGCCGGTGGCTCCTCCACGGTGGTGAGGTGCTCGAATATGGAGGCCGCGGCGGGATCCGTGCGGTCCCTCGCCCCGCACGCGCACGCCGCTATCGTGGCCGCGCTGGGCTGGAGCATCGCGCACGGCACCCTGTGCTCCACGGCGACGGCGGGCGCCCAGTGGTGGAACGTGTCGACCAAGATCCAGTCCGGCCGGCTCACCTCGTCACCGGCGCACGCGGCGCTCAGGAACTCCGTGAACGGCGCGGCGAGGCCGTCGAAGGCCTCCCAGAGCAGCTCGAGCCTGTCGCCGGGGACGTCGTTGGTGGACTCGGCGCCCTCGGGGAGGCCCTCCACCCGTGGGAGCTGGAGCGCCACGAGGTCCACGGCGTGGCGCCGCGGCGGCAGGCGCGCGAGGTTCCTGGGCGTGGAGACGTAGGACACGCGGTGGCCACGCGACGCCAGGCGCTCGGCGAGCTCCAGGTACGGGAGCATGTGGCCGAACGCGAGCCACGGGCAGATCACGATGCGCAGCGGCGGCGGCACTGTTGACGACTCGGTAGCCATGGCGAGGTGACGGATGAGTATCTGTGACAAACAATCAGCTCGATAGCACTACGCCCATCGCCGGGCCAGGCGAGCTCTCGTTGTAGCTAAAAAAAGGCCAAAGGGGACGGGGAGTTGTGTTAATTTGGAGTGCAGCACACTACCTAATAATTTCTAAAATTGTAGAGTCATGTATGCTGAATTACCGATATATGTGACGTGCAACTTAGGTGTCGGAACAAATTACAAGCTAGCCAGCTAGGACAGGGGTAGCATCGAAATTCTCCACTTCACCAATCGACGTTGATCGAGGAACACCTTGAGCTCGCTAATTGACGCGATGTCGCTCTCGATCGCTATGGCATTATGGCAAGGTACGACCACATCGACAACGAGACCTCGGTGTGTCTCCCTGCGGACCCCGCCCGTACGTGGACGGCGTGGAGTAGCCTGTTTCATCAACCAGTCATTATCGTATGTATAAGTGTCGATCAGCCTCGGCGGCGGCATAGATAACGCTACAACATGTACTACATGTGTGTGGCTGCGGACGGCCACCGCGAGCGATTCGTTTGTCCACACAGCAACGGGGCTCACTATACCACAGCCGCAAAGATCTTATATGTTTTTCAATAAACCTCTTCTTGTAAGGTAAGGCCAGTTTGGATTCACCCTAGCTAAACTTTATTAGCTAACTAATTTAACTAGCAAAAATTTATCATGGACTATTTGGATCCTCTAGCTAATTGGTGTTTATTGACCATCACTAGTACAGAACCGAGCTTTACTCCCGGTGGGGAACCCCCTCTAGTCCCGGTTCCCCACCCGGGAGCAAGCATCCGGGACTAAAGGGGGGGTCCTTTAGTCCCGGGTCAGGAACCGGGACTAAAGGAGGACCTTTAGTCCCGGTGGGTAACACCAACCGGGACTAAAGGTGCCTCCTGACATGCCACGATGGCCGGCACCTTTAGTCCCGGTTGGTAATACGAACCGGGACTAAAGGTTTTTTTCTTTTTTCTTTTCTTTTCATTTTTTTGTTTTCTTTTCAAAATAGGTTTTCGAAGTCGTATTGTACGCTGCTAATTATACATTTATACGCGCATATAGTATGTTTCGGTCAAGCACAATGAACGTATTAAATCACACAATTCAATCATAGAAATATATATATATATATATATATATATATATATATATATATATGCATGCATGCATCATATATATATTTACATGCATGCATGCATATGTGTATTTTACATTATATTATTTCATGTGCATATATTACAAAAGATTGCATTATAGTTGTTGTGACATAACAAGTTTCTTCTCATCCTCTAGCTTGGCTTCAATGGCGGTGTTGGGTCAAGTAGAACTCGCCCTTGGAATCGATGACCTGCTCATTAAAAATCCGCTATAGACTCTTGAATTGCTTTGATTTGGTCTTGCCGTATGACCTTTTCCTCCAACCATCGAGTCTACAGGTTTGAATTAAAGGAAAATAAATTAATATATGTACATATATATATATATAAAGACATAGTAACACAATCAATAATAATAATTAAATGAATATATAGTGTATTTTAACGTACTTTGAGTCTCTCTGTAGGAGTTCTTTGGGAGAGCACCTTGATAAACTTGCAAACATAGTAACCACAGATGGTTGTTCCCTGTTCTCGCCTTAGACACCACTTTCACGAGAAAAAGATTTGTCATCAATCTGGTGATCCGGTGAAAGCTATATGTTGAATTAATAAAGATGATGCGATTCAGGGGACTTACTTTCAAAGGGATTACATTCGATGGCGCTTTGCATTTTTCCATGTGTTGCTTCTCAATAAAGGTTTTCCAAACACTTTTAATAAAAAATTTGCCACGTCATCGATATAGTTAATCATCATGTTTGTGTGTATATATAGTTGCTAGAGATCTCGAAATTACCTCTGGATAATATCTATCATATCTTGGTAGTCTTGTTGTGGTTTTCTCATCGAGTCATAGATTATCAAGTGACTTTTCACCGGATCGATGTCCATCAATATCCGATGATTGCTGCATGTGTTTATAGGATATAACGCATAACACTCATTAATTAACTAGAATCAACATAAGCCATTAAGGCTATGATCGACATGATTAACACTCACTTGAAGTTATAGGAAAGAGTATATCCTTCTTGTGGCGTTGGTTCACTAAGAAGTTCATGAGGTTACTCTCGACTCGGACTTCCAATTAGTCATTGGAGTAATTGGGTCTTTGAATACTATATGGGGATCAACAAAACCAATTTCATTGCGGCCTTCCTTTCGAAAGAGCTCTGTCATTGTAAATCTGCATATATATAGTACTTGTTAGGATAATTTATATGCATATACACACATATGATGAGTTTAATAATAGATCGAAAGAATTATTACTTACGGGCAATAGCGATAATGATAACTTTGTCCGGAGAGGTCGGTGGCATAGTTGATGAAATTACGCAAAGTCAACATACATAACATCATCATACGGAACCAATGTTCGTCTCTAATTACGACACCAACGCAGAAAAGTCTCCATTGGTAGACCTTTTGCATGTACCACTGTTTAGCGGTACATTTCGTCCCCGGATCGAGATAAGGCTTGAGGTTGTATAGACTCGCCCTAGTACAAATTTTTCTTCCAAATATCAACCTCCGCCGCACTCTCAATGTTTCCATCACCAAACATCTGGTAAAGGTCGAGACCAGTCTCATCAAGAAATTCACCAAGGTGATCCAAATCGACATCCGGAGGTATGTTTGCCTGATGCATTAATCCTAAATTCGAACCATATTCATTACCAACAACTAGCGGGGGGATTGATTGGTGCGCTTGTTGTCCGAGTTGGGCAACTCCTTTCCCTGCCCTTTTTTTTACATGCGCCTCAATTGACTTGGTGAGAGTGCGGTCATAGTCTGATAACGTTGATTTGGACGACTTACGAGATTCCCATTGTTGATCTTTGGTAAGAAATCACCTTTTTCTTAAAATATCCGAGACTCTGAAGAAGTACGGTTTCTCCGGGTTTCTCCTTGCTTCTTGATTCATTTTAAGTTTGTCATAGAATCTAGACATGTCTGTCTTTTATATGCATCAGTTCCTTCTTCCTTCTCTTGAGATATTATTTTGGGAATAACCCTTGGTTTCACGGTGGCTTTCTTTGCAAAGGGGACCGGTTCTTCGTTTGAGGGCTGACCTCTTGCTAGGCTTCTTGGTAGGCGGGGCGGGGGGCGTTGGAGACCTCCTTGGAGGTGTTGGCGTGGCGTTGGAGACCTCCTTGGAGGTGTTGGCAGCGGCGTTGGAGACCTCCTTGGAGGTGGCGGCTGCGGCGTTGGAGACCTCCTTGGAGAGGGTGTGGATGCAGCCTCGTCTTCCAACACAATGTCATCGTACAGAGCACTATGATGATCTGGCGATTGAACAATTGGATTTAGATTGGGGGAGGATCTGCTACAAAAAAAGGAATGACATATTATTATGAGCAGATTGTTAATTATTTAAGCCAATACAAATTAATGATGTAGTGTTTTCATCCGCACATACCTATGGTGAGGTAGTTCAGGAGGAGGTGGAGCCGACATCCCTGGAATGATGATGTAGCGCTTGCGCCATAGAATGAATGTCTTCTCCGCTTCTCCTAGAGTCTTCTCGCCATCACCTCCAGGAATGTCAAGAGGCAAATCACTAAAACCTTTTTCAGCTTTATCTACCGAGATGGTGGCATATCCTTCTTGGATTATATTCCCATGAATCCTTGGTGTCTTGGTTCGGTCGATAGGATTAACAAGACCGATAGCCACCTTGATTGTGGAATTCTCCTTGAATGTGTAGCTCACACGTTGTACAAGGTTCGATGGCGTCATCCACGAGGGAAGCGCATCCTGTGTCCCCTTGATTTGGTATCTCCGTGGAAGCGCAGCAGCTTTTCAATCGAAGCAGTTGGCTAATGTTGATTCCTCGGCTCGATGCACCTTGCTTGCACTCACCGCTATTTGCACTTGCCTTTTGATTTCCTCCTGCATTCTCGCTTCAAGGTTTTTTTTTCCGCTCACATGCTTCACGCACCGCTTCCTCCAACCTCTGGGAGCGGTGTGCCTCTTCTTCCTTCTTTCTCTGGCGACTTCAGAGGAAGGTCTGCATCTGAGGGAATCCATGCTCCCACGAGACACTTCCTTTGCCTCTAGTTCGCCACCATGTTCAATAGTCCCGATGGCGTATGTCACCATCCTTCTCTCTGTTGGGCTGAACACACCACTAGCGATAGCTCTCTGAGCATAAAGCAATCTTTCTGCTTTGCTTCTTGCAGGTCTTGCGCCATAAACGCACTTCCACTCTCTGGTCTAGTGTTCCCCATGAGCGAAAAACCAATTCTTTGCACGTTCTCCCCACTCGAGTGATTACAGTGCGATACCCTTGGCAAGAAGGTGCGCTTCCATTTTGTTCCACTTCTTAATGGCGGTCGGGTAGCCACCGATCCCAAGGTATGGTGGTATGTCTTCATTGGGCATTATGTTGGTTCTTTATCACCCGACTCACACCCTCTTCCGAAGTCTTGTACTTGTACAAACTCATCCCAATAGGGCCTCTGCTTTGAGATCGGGCTGGGACGGTAAAATCTGGTGCTATGTTCTTCTTGACATACGTCGTGTATAGGTGTTTCTTCCAAGTCTGAAACTGGGTGGCCATCTTCTTCATTGCCCAATCCCTAACTCGCTCCTTCAATTCATCACCATCTATTATATCATCATAATCATCTGTTTGGAGCGTGAAATGTACCAAGACATCATTCCAAATTAACGCCTTGTCACGATCGGAGACAAAACTGATATGAGGAGCATTGGTCTTCTTCTTCCATTCACGGGTACTAATCGGAGTCGGTCCCGTACAAAGGTAACCACAGTGGTGCACAAATTTCATTTTATTCGCCCCCCGGTTCTCCTGTATCCACATTGAACTCGAGATGATGAAGCGACCTCCAATGGCTTTTTGGGACCTCG